CCCAGTCACTTCCTCAGGTCACTTGTTTGCCTCCCAAACCCTGCACTCATCTGTGCACCCTCACCTGCAGCAGGTCTTTCAGCTGCATGTGGAGAGACTTGGTCTCCTCCTGAAGCTGGTTGATGGTGTCTTGGTTCTTCTTCATGTTCCATTGGGAGCTCTCATAAAAGGCCTTCCGGTCACCCTCTGGGGCAGACAGAGGTCACTGTCACTGGGTAGGTGGGTGGCACTTCCCAGAGAGAAGACCTATTTGGTAGTGGTGGTGGGTTTTTTGTTTGTTTATATTAGTTTTGTTTTTTAGATAGGGTTCCATATAGCCTGGGCTGGCCACAAACTCATCCTATAGCCAAGGCTGGTCCTGAGCTCTCTCTCGCCTGATCCCTCTGCCTCCCACGAGCTGGGATTGCAGATGTACACCTGTCATATCACATCCAGTTTATGCAGAGCTGGGATTGGAATAAGCCAGACAAGCACCCTACCAGCTGAGCTATGGCCTCAGAACTCTTTTACAGAAGAGGAGAAGGAGGAAGGAGGGGAGAAGGAGGAGGAAGAGGAGGAAGAAGAAGAGGAGGAAGAGAGGAGGGAGAGGAGGAAGATGAGGAAGAGGAGGAGGAAGAAGAGGGGGAGGAGGAGGGGGAAGGAGAGGAGGAAGAAGAGGAGGAAGAAGAGAAGGAAGATGAGGAGGGGAAGGAGGAGAAGTGGAAGAAGAGGAGTCTATGTTTGTGTGACTGCATCCATACATGTATGTGGGAGGCCTGAACACCTATGCACTTGCAGGCCAGAATGGTATTAGGTGTTCTAGCCCATTCTGGAGAGAGATGGCTTGGCAGGTTAAGATTCAGTACTCTTCTTCCAGAGGACCCAACTTCAGTTCCCAGCACCCAAGTTGAGAGGCTTACAACTACCTATACTCCAGTTCCAGGGACTCTGACTTCCTTTCCTGAGCTCCTCAGACACATGCACTTATGTGCATAGACCCACACACAGACAAACATTATATACGTTATTAAAACACAGTAATATACATTATTAAAATTTTTTAAGCGTGTGTGCATGTGTATGTGTGAACACACACACACACACACACACACACACACACGGTGTCTGCAGAGGCCAAAAGATGGCATTGAGTTCCCTGGAGCTGCAGTTAGAGGTGGCAGTGAGCTGCTGGACATGGGTGCTGAGAACTGAACCTGGGTCCTCTGCAGGATCAGCATCTTCCCTGCTGGCTCATCTCCCTGGTCGCCCACCCATTCCTTTTGGAGGCATGGTCTCTCTGTGACTGTGTGGGCTGAGAGGCAACAAGCCCCAGCAAAGCTCTATTCTCTACCCAACTAGGAGCTGAAGTCATAGGCATTTACTGGAACACTCAGCCTTTTATGTGGGTGCTGGCACTGAAGTTCTGGTCTACAGGATTTTGAAGCAAGTGCTCATAACTGTATACTCAACTCTCTGCCACATCACCCTCTTTTGTCTTGTTTTTCTCAGAGAAAGTCTCTTATAGCCCAGGCTGGTATGGAACTCACTTAAGTAGCCATGGCTAGCTTTGAACTCCTGATCTTCCTGTCTCCGAGTCCCAAGTGTTGAGATGCTAGGTGTGCCCCACCATTCCTAGCACTAAGACCTTTTTGCAATCCATCTTTTGTTTGGTTTCTTTAAATAGGGTCTCAGCATGTAGCTCAGGCTAGCCTGGATCCTCTTGGTGGTATATACCACCAAGCCAGTGAACAGTGTACTGGCCCCTGATTGTGGCGAGCAGATATTTTACTTCCTGCATGGGATGAATTCTGATACCATAAGGCATGGTAGAGTAATAACAGTAGAAAATACCTCATGTGTTTCCAAATAGCTATACAAAGGATTATATGCCTCACACAAGAACATCAACAACGTCTGATGATGGCAACGCCAATTACTGCAATCTAGTTATGCTACAATGTACCATGATACCACTCAGCACCCCATAAACATGGATACGAATTCCACATCAATCAAAAACCTTAGGAACTAAATAGGCATGGTGGGTCAAGTTTATCCCTAACCAGGGTTATCAGGCAAAGGCAGGCATCTATGAGTTAGAGGCTAGCCAGGGCTATACAATAAGATCCTGTCTCAAAAAACAAAACAGAAACAAACAAGAAGCAAAAATCAGAGGCTGGAGAGATGGCTCAGTAGTTAAGGAGACAGCTTTACCAGAAGTTTTGGTTCCCAGCACCCACCAGGCAGTTCACAACAGTCTATAACTTCATTTCCAGGGGGATCTGACGCTCTCTTCCTATCTTCAAAGGCACCAGGAATACACATGGTATACAGACATACATTTAGGCAAAACATTCACATGCATAAAATAAAAAAAATATATTTTTAAAAGAACAAAACCCACGTACTAATGTCTGTAGTCATGCCTAGTCTGCATGAAGCCCTGGGTCTGACCACGAGCAGCACAAAGAGGATAAGCAAGCCAGTGTGGAGGCATGACTTTAACCTCAACACTCAGAAGACCTTGGCAAGCAGGTTTCTAAATTCAAGGCCAGCCAAGTCAACAAACCAAGTTCCAGGGCAGCCAAGGCTACCTTCAGTGACCTTGTCTCTAAACAAAGAAAACCAACAAACTTTTCTCTTCAGCCCCTACTTTCTTTTATTATGGGATGAAAAATCAACCTGTAGCAACCTATAAATCAGGTAGTGTGCTTGTGCCTACCTTTTTTCTCTTAGCAAGAGAAAGATGAAGGCAGGAGGATCAGAAATTCTAGGTCCCAGAAAACAAACTCAGGTCATCAGGCTTGGCACAAGAGTCCTTATTTGTTGAGACATCTTGCTGACCTACATTTCCTTGGTCTTTCTCTCTTTCTTCTTTTTCAGACAGGGTCTTACTCTGTAGCCCAGGTTAGCTTTTAACTCACTAGATACCCAATACTGTCCTCAAACCAATGGCAATTGTCTAACCTTGGCCTCCCAAGTGCTTCAACACAGACATGGGCCATCATGGCCAATTTACAGTATTTTTATTATTTACACATTTATTTATTTTAGTTTTTTTTTCAAGACGGGTTCCTCTGTGTAGCCCTAGCTGTAACTCACTCCATAGACCAGGCTGGCCCTGAACTCAGAGATCTGCCTGCCTCTGCCTCCTGAGTGCTGTGATTAAAGATGTGTGCCTCCATTATCAGGGTTAAGATTTCCTCTTTATTAATAAGAGCAAAATCACACTAGGGTTTTCCAAACTCTGGCATAAGCAATATTTGGTCTTGATAATTCTTTGCTGTGGTTGGAGGCTGTATCAGACCTAATAACAGGTCTCCTCGCCTATGCTTAATAAGCCTGAGTAGTACCCTCCTGTACTCAACAAAATGATAACAAAAAAAGTCTGCAGACATTGCTAAGTGGTCTCTGGGAAGGGCAGCACTATCTCCTCCCCACTGAAGCCACTAATTTTCACTTTCTACTACTTAACAATGCACTATTTGAGCATTTTATGAATGGCAAGTACTACTTGTTGAGTTACTATGCCCATTTTACAGATGGAAAAACTGGGTACAATTAGATGACTCCGAGTTCCCCAAATCAAACAACTATTATTCAGAGCAAGGATTTAAACTCCAGAGAAACAAACTCTGTTGGGACTGAAGATATAACTCAGCAAAGTGCTTGAGTAGCATAGAGCCCTGGGTTCCAGCCTCAGCACCTTATAATGACAGCATGGTGGCACATGCCTATCACCCAAAAGGTGGAGCTAGGTCTCCTTAGAGTTCAAGCTAGCCTGGGCCATATGGGGCTAACTCTCAAAAATAATTTAATAAATAAATAAAAGTTGGGCTGGAGAGATGATAGCTCAGTGGCTAAGGGCATTTGCTGCTCCTGCAGAGCGCTTTTTACGGTAGTCTCAAGCACCCACATTGGTCGGCTCATAACCACCTGTAACTCCAGCTCCAAGGGGTCCAATGCCTTCTCCTGGCATCTGAGAGTACTGTGCTCTGTCCACAGAAACACAAAATGAAACAATAAAGAAAATAAAAAAGAAGAACAAACTTTAGAGTCTGGATTTTCCACCCATTCATATGCACGTTACAAGAGGTAAGATTACAAAGAAATGGGAAAGAAAGACAAGAAGCCCGAACAAATTTTGAGTGTTTGCATCAAGTTGGTCACCTAGACTGGCGCTGGAGAAACACCTGTCACATAGTGCCTACTCAGAAGACCGGATGGGCACACTTGATCCCTGATCCTTCTGCGCCGTCTGCAGCCATCTTACCTAACAGTTGGATTTTTCTTTGTAACTCAAGCACCTGTGCGTGCACAGAAGACTTCATCAAATGGAAGGAGGCTGCCTTCTTGGCATGATGTGCAGGCCAGGCCTGTGCCCGGCCCATAGCCTTGCCTCGGGGACGGTGAACCTTACCGCCCTTGGCTTTGGAAGAGGGCGCTGGAACTTGCTCCTGGCTAGTCACCGTGCTGGTCGCGGCTGCCCAGCACAGGGGAGACGTCATGGTGATTGGGTTAAGGTCAAGAAGCCTCTAAAGGGTAGGAGAGTAACTACAATTTGGCCTCTTCAGTCCAGGATCCTAAGCGCTGGTTCCCTGGGCTCTGGGAATGCACTTTTGCTAACTGCTTGGCTGCCGGCCTCTAAGCATCTCCCGGTTGCTAAGTAACTTCCTCCCCGCCCACGTTCCCAAGGAAACCGCCCGCGTTACACTCCACAGCTCTCACTGGCTGACTTGGTTCGGAGGGGCGGTCCCAAAGGAGGCCCAGCAAAAGAGAGGCGCGACCGTAGAGGTCACGTGACCCCTGCGTGTTCGCGGGCAGTGGCCGAAACCCGCCACTCCCAAGATGGAGGCACGTCACGCCGCCATTAAGCGCTGCACTTCCGATCTGTTCTCTCTAAGGCTAGGTCTTCATGTTCCTACTCAAGATGGCCGCCTTAGCTCCAGCACACGCTCTCTTGCCACTCCTAACATGGCGTCCCGGAGTTGCCGTTCGCCAAGAGTGATGAGCAAAACGGAAGTGACGTATTCTAGAGCGTTCCGGTCTTTTTCTGCTGCAGGAACCGCGGCTGCTGAGCCAACCTTGTGTGGTGGCTATTGAACTTTGCCTCTGCCTCGTGTAGGTGATGAAGTAGGGTGGAAGGCACCCTAATTTCTTATAGGTTGCAGCAGGGTGGGTGGTGTGGAGGGATTGTGAATCTTTTGAGCTTTTGGCGGGAGTTATTCATTTCACCTCTTTACAGAGACCTAAGGTTTTGAGTTCACTTTGAGACTTTTATTGGCTCGGGGTGGAGAGATCCCCCTGCCCTTGCACCTCCAACTCTGTTTGAACCCTCCTTTTCTGGAAGCAGTGGTGAGGTCGGCTTTGGATAAGCTGCCCTCTCCCAGTGATCAAATGCTTCATTCTTTTCTACAGTTAGAAGACATCGCGTATCTTCCTGCCGCAGAACACACTTCCGGTCTTGGCCCGTTCGGGATGTTGCTGCTGCAGCTGCTGCTGCTACCCCTCTGTTGGGCAGTAGAAGTTAAGAGACCCCGGGGCGTTTCCCTCAGCAGTGAGTCTTCTTTGTGTATAGCGAAGGTGGTCGGGAGGGGCCGTTTTCAGCTTTTTTCCTCCGTTTCCCGTAGCATTTCTACTAATGAGGGTGAGTGGGTAGGACAGAGGTAGTATTTATTTAAGAAGATCTAAGCTAGCCTCTTGTTTTCCTCACCAGACCATCACTTCTATGATGAATCTAAGCCTTTCACGTGTTTGGACGGCACGGCCACTATCCCATTCGATCAGGTGAACGATGATTACTGCGACTGTAAGGACGGTTCAGACGAGCCTGGTGAGCGTTTGCATTTCCTCACTGCCCATTAAATGAGCCTGATGAGTGCAGATGTCCCATAAGAACTAGGGTCTCCTCCTCCTGTTGCTGCCTGCTCAGTGAGCAGAAGCAGGCACAGAGATGAGATCCCTGTTGGCTTGGATTAGCTGAGGGGTAGCATTTGTAGGTGCCAGTCCTGGTTTCCCTTCCCTAATAAAGAAGCAGATATCCAGGTTTACAGCCAAGTCAGCAAATGTCATTGGTGGAACCAGGAATGGCTTCCAGGAGGAGGTGAGGTTTCTAGTCAGGAAGAACCAACATAAGACCCTCTCAGAGATGGGAGGAGGAGGGAAACTGAATGGCCTTCTAGGGATTGATGAAGGCAAAGAGGAGTGGAGGGGGTTGCCAGGCCTTTTTGAAGGGCCTCAGGAGAAGCTGGGTTGTACTGGAGGGTTCTGTTATAGGCTTCTGAAGATAACAGTTTCTTCTTGATTGTTCTTTGGTTTATTTTTATTTTGGAGACACTCTCCTGTAGCCCAGGCTGGCCTTGAACACACAGTGTAGCTGAGGTGACCTGGACCACAGATCATCCCGATCACCTCCCAAGTGCAGGGATTACAGACATGCACCACCACACCTGGGTTTCACCTTTTTCTGGAGGAACGTGTCTGGCATGAAGGACACTCAACAAGCTTTCTTTTTTCTGCAGGCACAGCTGCTTGTCCCAATGGCAGCTTTCACTGCACCAACACTGGGTACAAGCCCTTGTACATCCTCTCCAGCCGGGTCAACGATGGGGTATGTGGTAAGTGCTTGGGGATCCTCCCAGGATCTGGGGAAGGAGGCTGGGCCAGCCAGAGGAGGCCCCGCCCACTCTGATCTTGGCCCTTCCCCCTCTGCTTCAGACTGCTGTGACGGGACAGACGAGTACAACAGTGGCACCGTGTGTGAGAACTCCTGCAGGTGGGTGGGGGGACCCAGGGCATCCTGCACCTCTGCTTGGAAGTCAGGCTGCTTCCTTGTCTGCTTACATTTTTTTCACCTTGCCTTTTAAGATTGTCATTTACTGAGTGTGGTGGCACACGTCTCCAGCACTCGGTTGGCAGGTTTATTTTTATGTTAGGTGAGTGTGAGAGGGAGAGTGTATGCCACCCACATGCGTGTCTGTGGAGGTCAGAGGAGGGCGTATGACCTCCCTGGAGCTGAAGTTAGAGGCTAGACTCAGGTCCTCTGAAAGATTAGCGAGTGAAGACTCTCCAGCTCCTCCTTTGTTTCTTTAGAGGCAGGCTCTCCCTCTGGGTGCCCAGTCAGCACCACCTTCCTTAACATCCAGAGCGCTAAGATTGTAATCTGATACCACAGTGGCTCCTTTTGTTCTTCTGTGAGTCTGGTGGCTCCTTGAAATCCCCACACACCAGCATTCCCTCTAGGTCTGAGGTGTTGAGACTGTTTACCTGTTTTGAAACAGGAGATGGCTGCTTGTAATGGCAGCCCTTGGGGTGGGAGGGCAGGAGCCTCAGAGGCTGAAGCCTGGCCTACCAGAGAGCCTGTTTCAAAACGAACTGACAAACAAAAACCCTGCACAAAAGAGACAGTGAGTGCAGGAAGACAGGTGGTGTGTTTGCGGCGGAATTGAGGCTGGGCTCTGGTTGGGTTAACAGTCTCAATACTTGTTTTATTTTATAGTTTCTTTTTTGCGTGTTTGGGTGGTATGTGTCTACGTGTACACTGATAGATCATGTTGGGTTTCTTGCTGCTCTCTTTTCTGTATTCCTTGAAACAGTCTTTCACTGACGCTTAAGCTAGGCTGGTCGCCAGCAAGCTCTAGCAATCCTCTTGTCTCCACCCTGCCCAAGGCTGGGCTTCTAGGTGGATGGCCATAGCTAGCTGTCTGTGGCGGGGGCTGGGATGCTTTCTTACTCGCTGAATCATCTCCCAAGCCTCCTGTTTTCCTTTTTGAGACAGGGTGTCAAGCTTCTCTTGTGTAGCCTGGAACTTAGGTGACCCTTCCGCCTGCCCCTCTTTCAGTTGCTGGGAACACAGCTGTGTGCTGCCCCGTTGAGCTTTGTTTTATTTTGGGGGGCTCATGGAGCCCAGACTAGCCTCAGACTTACTTGGCTGGCCGGCCATTATAATCTTGAATTGCTGTTCTTCTTGCTTGTCTATTCTGAGTGCTGGAATTGCAGGTGTAATAGTTACCACACCCAGTAGACCTCTGGCAGACCTCTGGCTCTTGGTTTTGGTTTTGACTTTTCTGTTCTGAGAAAACAGGGTCTTACTCTGTGGCCTTGGCTGGCTTGTACTTACTACTTAGACCAGGCTGGTCAAACTCACAGAGATCTGTCTCCCAAGCACTGGGATTAAAGGTGTGTGCTCGCATGGCCGGCCTCAGGCTATGGGTCTTATTCTTCCTACTGTGGTCACTTGGGGGCTAACCTTCAGACCTGTTCCTCACTGCTTCCTAGACAGTCCTGTAATCCCAAGGACATGCAAGCTTTGCATGCTCTCTGTTTTCTCAGGGGCAGAGTTGAGGCCTTTGTGGTCAGAAGAACCTGGAAGGGTAGGCTGCAGAGGGGTCTTTCTGTGACTTCTCTTTCTCAGCACTGTTCATGGGAGGATGTAGCTGGAGCTGGCAGGTGACCCAGGCCCTTTAGGAAAAGGCAGACCTGCTGGGTCCTGACTGTCTTTAGTGGTACTTCTGTGTGTCAACCTCAGAGAGAAGGGTCGAAAGGAAAAAGAGTCCCTGCAGCAGCTGGCTGAGGTCACCCGAGAAGGGTTCCGCCTAAAGAAGATGCTCATTGAGGAGTGGAAGACAGCCCGGGAAGAAAAGCAGGTGAGGGACCAGAGGGACCCATTGGTACGACCCCCTGGGCCTGGGGTCCTTGAGTGACGGGCAGGCAAATGCAGGTGGAGAGTACACTTGATGCTGGGTTGTGGTGAGCTTGTGTCTGCCATATCATGTTGAGTGGTTGTCTGAGCATTTTTCCCAAGTGTGAAGCTTTCAGCTTACGAGACAGATGTGTTAACTCCTAGACACGGAAAGATCTCTGTATCCCCAGCCCCACTCACTGTCTGTAACCTGGGCTGGTAGTTGTCAATACCGGAGTTCTGGGGGAAGCTCTCAAGCTTAATTTCAGTAGAGAATGCTACATTGACTCAGTGCGGTAGCAAGCCCAATGTTTAGACCAGACTCCAGCCCTGTGTCTGTCCAAGAGAGATTGCAGGCTCCTCTCTCCCATCCTGTGGTTGGAGAATATCTCTGAATTGAGGAGACTGGGAAGCCCCTGTTAAGTGGGCAGTGATTGCCCTTTCAAATTCTGGGGATCTGGGGAAGCCTATTGATGAGATTAGTTCCATGTAACCTTTATCTTCCAGGGGAGATGAGAAGGTCCTGGTTCTAACAGATCCTGGCAGGAAAGCGTCACAGAAGGGCTGAGACAGCTAAGACCTGGCACCTTGTGGTAGCCCACTTCTTTATCTCTAGACCAGAGCTTGCCTGGGCTACTTTTTGTTGTTACTGCCCCACCCTCCTTTTAAATTTATTTTTAGACAAAGTCTCAGTTTGTGGCTCTGGCTGGCCTCAAATTCACAGCGATTCTCCTGCCTCTGCCTCCTGGGTTCTGGGGTTGAAAGCTTTTACCGCCATGCATACATCACTCTTTTATTTTTGTGTTAAAGATGGAACCCAGGGCTTTGTACAGGGTAGGCAGGCACTCGTGTAGTAAACAACCCCAGCTTGTTAAAGAGAATTCTACCACTGCTGAACCACACCCCATCCCTCACTGGGGAATTCTAGGTTGGGCCCTCTCACTCAGCTGTACCCCAGCCTGCACTCTGGGGTTCTAGGCAGGTGCTCCAGCCCTGTTCTCAACCCCCAGCCCTGTTGCTTCTCAGAACGTATGTAGACACCCAGGTGTACTGGGTGCCTGTTACGGTTAAAATTTAAAATGGCGGCACCCAAACTGGCTTGTTATTAGGGGGCCACCATGTTCTCTGCGGCCACGAGCGGTGGCGTGTTCTCTTAGCTGCTGCTGCTCAGGTGGGCCAGAAGTACCGGCCCTGGCACCCATGAGATGCCAGTGTGGGAGATGGCTCTGCCAGTCCACCACGCTGTCTCCACAATGCTTGGCTGAGCCCAGACCATCCCGTCATCCACGCGGAACCCGGTAGAAATGAGACTCTAAAGCTTAATTATTATCCAAAGGCTTTACATGTTTAGAAATGCTCAATTAACAAGATGCCCACACAATTAGAGTTGTTTCCCAATATCTAACCTTAAGACATAAATCATAACTCAGGGCCATCTTGGACCCGTGTGTAGTTCTCCATGGCTCCTACATCTCTCCTTCCCCCTCACTCTTCCTCTCCTCCCGACTCCTCACTCCGCCTACCTCTCATACAGCCCAATTGCCGAGCTTTATACAAAATGTAGCAGGAAGATATCCCACTACAGGTGCCATGCAGGTTAGAACCAGTCCTGTGCCTTCCTCGATTGGGAAGTCACATCCCATGTTGTTGGAGAGGGAAGCTGAGGAACTATAGGATATAAAGAGCTTTCTTGCATGGTTACCCTCACCCATCTTGGAGGCAGGAAATGAAGATTTCCGGGAGGAGGGGCTATCTTAACTAAAATCTGTAGGGTAATTTAAGTCAGCCATGGAAAGCGTTCCAAATCGAAAGAATTACACGGGTGAAGAACTGAAAACAGGAGGGTGGGGGAGGGGTCTGAATGTCGTCCTTGAGTTTTAGGGTAGGAAAGGGCAGTGGGATATGTGAGGTTGCTCATGGTAAAATCACTTGCCAGCAGGCCCAGTGACCTGAGTTTGATTCCCAGGACAGGAAAGAATTGAGTCCTATGCACTGTCCTCTGACCGAATGTACCTCCTCAAAAAAATGCACGATGTACCTCCTCAAAAAAAAAAAAAAAGTGACTTGTGGGAGAAAGTGAAGTTTAAATGATGGATGGGACAAGTGGGCCTGACTGTGCAGGCTGTCATGGCCTGCATCCTGCCCTGGGCTCCTCAGAGCGGCACCCTCGGAGGTGGGCGTTTTGGAAAGATCTCGGGGCGGGAGAAGAGGACAGAGCTGAAGTAGAGCTGGCCTCTTGCCTGCCACTTTTTCTGCAGAGTAAGCTTCTTGAGCTTCAGTCTGGAAAGAAGTCTCTGGAAGACCAGGTAGAAACACTGCGGACAGCGAAAGAAGAAGCAGAGAGGCCGGAGAAGGAGGCCAAGGACCAGCACCGGAAGCTGTGGGAAGGTATACTGTGGGGAGGCTCAGGGCTGGGGACTCTGGCTCCTGAGGAGTTGTCCCTGACACGGGCCCTGTCTACAGGAGCTAGCCAGGTTCCCTTGCATTCGGTCCTACTTAGGCAGGGTCTTGTGTAGCCCAGGCTGGCCGTAAATATACTATCCAGATGAGGAAGACCTTGAACTCCTGATCCCTCAGGGTGTTTCTGGATTTTTGTTTGGTTAGTTTTTTTTTTTTTTTTAATTGTCATGATGGTTCATCTCTATGTGCCTAGTTTTCTCTGTGTTGGTCATCCAATGTGGAGACCATAGAAAGTGCATGTGACCATGGGTGCCAGGTCCTTTTCTAGAGATTATTTTTCTGTCTGGGGCCGAGACCCTTGCCCTCCAGGGATCCTAAGCACAAGTTAAGGGTTTGAGATCTTTGCCCTCTCAAGCAGTATGCAGCGAATGAATCTAGTGTCTTATCCATGCGCAGCCAGACCATGCTCTCCCGCTGGTGTCACCCACCCCTCACTGGGGGATTCTAGGTGGGGGCTCTGTCCCTGCATTAAGGCTTCGGCCTGCACAGGGGATGAATTTAGATATATACTTGGTTTTCTGATCTAGCCTGTCTCTGAGGGGATGCCGTGCTCCTAAGATTAGAGGCTCTCCTGTTGGTACCCCCACCTTAACTTTGATTCTGGTTCTGCTGATCCCAGCAGGCACAGCATCTGTCATCCCAGCTCCTGGAAGGGTTAAGGCAGGAGGATAAATACCAGACTAACTTGGCCTACATAGCGAGATCCTGTCTCTAATGAAATAGAGAGAGCCAGGCCTTGGGGACTACTGTTCCAGCCCTTACATGATGGGTTAAGGATTCAGAGTCAGCCAGGTGTAGTGGCCCATATCGTTAATCTCAACACTCAGCACTGAGTTCGAGGCCAGCCTGGTCTACAGAGTCCAGGACAGCCAGAGCTACATAGTAAGACACTATGAAAAATGAAAACAAAACAAAACAAAAAAATCACAGCCAGCCTCTGCTGCACCAACCTGGGGTACATAGACCCTGAGTCGAATCAGAAAAGACAGGTGCCTAGGTGAAGGGTGTTCAAAAGTGTAGGTGAGGCTAGACTCCTGCTGGGTCCGGGCTCCTTGGACAAATCACTCAGGGCCTTGCAGGCTCTGAGCAGTGAGCGGTACTGGTTCACATGTCCCTGATATGCTGTGGCCACTATGAGGCAAAACACACTGCTGTTTTGTCAGCTGCGCAGAGCTCTTCCAGGTGTGTGTCGCTGTCGCTGGCACACATCCGTCGGCTGCCCCAGCTTTCCCAGCCCAGGCCTGCTCACAGCTCCTCAGCTCCCAGGCTTTACTCAGTCCTCGTTTGGTATCTGTTTGTCTGTGGGTAGGTGGAATGCGAAGGTATGTGCCACCGTGCACACGGAGAAGTCAGGACAATGCACGAGTCTGCCTGCCTTCCACCATGTGGGGCTCAGGGACTGAGCTCAGGTTGTCGTGCTTGTCAGCAAGCTTCTCTACCTGCTGAACCGTTTCAGTGGCCTCCCCCATTTATCCTGTTCCTAAGTCCGTCCTCCCTCTCAGAGGGCACAGACCTTTGTTAAATTCAGAGCTGTGTGTGTCCCAGCATTCCAGTAGGCTGGTCTCATGGTAGGGCTCCATGTTTGGTGAGGGCAGGGTTTGGAGGTGAGAGGTGTGGCTCATGTGGCACATGTGACAGAGTACCCCTCCACAGAGCAGCAAGCTGCTGCCAAGGCCCGGCGGGAACAGGAGCTGGCAGCCAGTGCCTTCCAGGAACTGGATGACAACATGGATGGGCTGTAAGTGTGACCGCGCTGCCCAGTGGGGCTCCTCACTCCAACCAGGGTAGGCCAGGGGTCTAACGAATCTGGCCTCCTCCTTATCGTGTAGCCAGGCTGCTCTCTAGTTACAGAATTCCTGCCTGGTCTCCAGAGCCTCTGACTGCAAGTGAGATCTGTCACTGCCAGTCAGCCCTGGGTGATTTCGAGGTGTTGACGCAGGCGGAAGTGGGTGGGTCAGGAAGAGTGGGTTCAGGAATATAGGGTCTAGATGTCTTCAAGGCCACTCCAAGTCTGCCTTGAGTTAGGTCTCTTCTGAGGGAGAGTGGGGAGGGCCTGGGTCCTGCCTCTTGTGGCGCAGCCCTCACTCTCACATGTAGAGGTCCCAGAGGAGCCTCACGCTTCCTTGTCTGTACTCAGGGTCTCGCTGGCTGAGTTACAGACTCACCCGGAGCTGGACACAGATGGAGATGGAGGGCTGTCCGAGGAGGAGGCCCAGGTACCCAGCCTGTTCTTGTCCTGGGACTTGCAGAGACAATTAGCCTAGAGTGAATTCAGGGTGAGCGGGGCAGGCCAGCGCTGATAAAGAGCTCCTGCTGTCCTGAAGTGAGGCTCTTCACATCAGTGTGAGAGCATATGATGCTGGCCTTGGGTGGGACCCCAGACCAGTACCAGGGCAGTGTGGAGCCTGTTCCCATCCATGGGCTCCCCACTGCCCTTCTGGGTGGTGCCTCTGAGTGGGAGTCCCATACCTGCTGTCCCTAGGCTCTAGCTCTGTCTTCTCTCTGCTACTGCCGCTGTCTCTGCCCCTCTCTCCATCCCTGCCCCTTCTGGACCTTGCCTTAGGGCACTTGTGCACAGTGTCTATACGCCTGTATCTTGTCCTGATGTCACCATACTTCCCAGCCCCCAATACCTCCTTTCTTCAGGGCTGTACTCTCCTTCCTGGTCAGAGTACCTGGCCCCTCTACTGTGGCCTGATCCCTCATTGTGGGTGCCTGGGGCAGAGTGTACAGGTGTCTAGAGGCCCTGACCCTGACCCCACCCCAACACATACAGGCCCTTCTCAGTGGAGACACACAGACTGATACTACTTCCTTCTATGACCGTGTCTGGGCTGCCATCAGGGACAAGTACCGCTCTGAGGTCTGTGGAGAGAGGAGGGGAAGTGGTCCTGCCCCCATCCCCTTGCAAAAATACCACCTCCTGCCATGGCACCCAGTCCCCTCTAGAGGTCACCTTTTCCAGATGTATGAACCAGTGTCCCCCAGCCTTGAGATAAGCTTGCTCCTCAAGCCCTCACCATTGGTCTTCACACTCCTGGGTCTGCCAGGTCCCACCCACTGACATACCTGTTCCGGAGGTGACTGAGCCCAAAGAGGAAAAGCCGCCAGTGTTGCCACCCACAGAGGAGGAGGAAGAGGAGCCAGAAGAGGAGCCAGAAGAGGAAGAGGAGGAAGAGGAAGAGGAGGAGGTGCAGGGGGAGCAGCCCAAGGTGTGTGTTGGGAGAATTATTGGCAGACAACTAAGTGGGGCTGCTTGCTGACTGGGCCTTGCCCTCCCCAGGAGGCCCCGCCCCCACTGCAGCCCCCACAGCCTCCCAGCCCCACCGAGGATGAAAAGATGCCACCCTATGATGAGGAGACACAGGCGATCATCGATGGTGAGCGAAGTTCCGAATGGGAAGGGATCAACCTCCCAATCAGCAGCCAGTCCCTCCTAACATAAGCAGGTCTGTCTGTACTGTAAGGGTGCACTCCCGGACCCCTGCCACGCCCCGGTTCCCATCCCCAAGACTCCTCCTTCCTCATGGGCTGCACTTGTTTGTAACACCCATAACAGGCTAGGAGTCAACTGGGCCCCAGGAGCCCTGGTCATGTACTCTAGAGAGACAGAGCAGAGCAGGCTCACTCTGCAGCTGGCCAGGCCTAGAGGGCCATCCTTGTTGGGGACAAACCCAGAGTGTAAGAGGCAGCTGTCACATTCTATGTGGGGTCCTATTTTGTCTCTTTTCTCTTGGAACTGGGGCCCACTCTGATCTCCTTTCCCTCAGCTGCACAGGAGGCCCGGAATAAGTTTGAGGAAGTTGAACGGTCCTTGAAAGAGATGGAGGAGTCCATCAGGTATGGGCACCGAGGCTGTCTCCTGCCCAGTCATAGTCTACTACAATCCCTTGGAGGAGGAGCCAGCCTGGCTCTTGCAGGGCCTGAACCTCCACCGTCCACTCACCATGCAGTTGGGCCTTCCCCCTTCACCTGGGCCCTTCTGTGTTGGGCCCTCCCCCCTTCACCT